ATTATTAATTTCTTATTAGATGTGATAACTTCATTGCATTTGAGCTTACAAAGAGTTCCCATCAAGATACAAACTGAAATATTTATGGATGAAATGATATAATGTCTTGGATCAGCTTCGAAATAATATGGCAAGAGGGGAGTAGGGATATAGATAAAACAAGATGAGCCATGTTTTGATAATAGTTGAAAGGAGGGGGTGACGGACACCCAAAGAGTTGTTAACACTGTTTCCTCTATTTTGTTATATACTTAAAATCGTGCGTAATAAAAAGTCCTTTAAAACAAAAAGATAATAATGGAGGGAAAGGTAAGTCAGTGTCACAAGTGAGCAGTCCCCCTTCCCGAGGATTGTGCCCTTTTTTAAGGGCACACAGCTTTGGCTTCCTGTGTCCACAGACGTTATATCATATATAATTTACTTTAAATACTTCAACAAAGTCCATGTAATGTCCTGAATTTCATCAGTGCCATCAACTGCAACCACAACATTATTTATGTACTACTAAGAAAGAAAAAATAATTTCACTGTCAAATCATCATATATTTTTGAAGACATTTTAAATAGAAAATATACTCAACAATGAATATAATTTAATGGAAGTGACTACAACATGAGCAGCTGTTTCCAAGTCGATGCATGTGGAGGCTATGTTAATTACATCAAAACTGCTGCCTGACTATAGTCATTTTAAGAAACCATTGATTCTAAGATATATCCAGCATTCAGAATACTATATGAAAAAGAAAATGCTCCTTAAAACTGATGAAATTTGGCATATGCTTGTTAGTTTTCATGTATCCTCTAGGCAGGTTAGTTTTGATTCTAGTATTCCAATTGCGAATACATACATACTCTAGGAGAGATTAAGTAGTATTTAGAAGATCCATGTACAAGCCCAGAGCGTCTATTTTAAGCTTCAGCTAACTTTAATCTCCAATCAACACCAAAGGCTTTGTTAATTAGAATAATACATTGTAAAAAATATTATAATTTTTCATTGCCTAGATGTGTTCAAGACATACGGATTGGTTGAAAATATTATCTAGACACTCCCAACCTTACATGCACAGGGTACCAGAATATGGCAATGGTCAATCTCAACATCAGTAAGGTAAATCAACCAATCTTATGCATCTTCACATGTGTTGCAGCATGAGGTATACAACATCACCTATGATTTGTTCTAGCCAAAAAGTATTAACTTGAATCCATCTAGCTTTTAGATATAACCTCTACTTTATAAGAAATACAGGAAATAGAAGAATAAGCTAAAAAATGCAATAA